CCTTTTTCGCCAGCATTGAACTGAAGTCGCGCAGTTTTTGCTGTTAAAGTGCTTCGAGCAATCAGGGTGGGATTAGCGCTACCGATGGGAGTGCTTGTGCGGAAATGGACACATGGTTGTCCGAGCACAGCGAACCACGGCTCTGGATCGTGTATTCAAAGTAAGGACAGCTGTAGATGAGTCGATCATCCTGATATTAGTCAATGAATCGTTGTCATCTTATTGCTTTAGTTTTGCTGAAGACTGTAGCCTTCATCCGCTAAATTAGGATGGCTAAAAGTGTTAACAGGATTTAACCTAATAAAAATATAAAAAAAGCATGACAAAGCAGCAACATGCCCTCCTGACCTATAGCCTCGCCCCACAGTGTTGTCTGCTGAAGTCATCCCCGCTCAGCAACTCAATCACACCTCTGACTCAAATTCTAGGCACCACAGGCGAGCGCCTAGGCAAGTTTAATTTTTTTGTTTTCTTTAACACCTCTCCTTTCGCACACAGCCGTTTGCAGTACACCATCATGTTTACCTTCTCGCACGGGTACATTTTCCGTTACAGAGCCAGCCCTCCCTCCTCTTATTTTGAGCCCTTAGTTTCTGGATGCGCGCTTTTTAGTTTTCTCAACTCTGAGTTATCGCAACGCCTTGTGTCGCTATTCTATTATGCAATAGCCGAGAGTGCACCTGTTGGCAGACAGTATTGCAGGCAATGACAAAGGAGATTGGAATGGCCATTTCTGGCTTATTAGCCGTCGTCCGCCAGTCATACCCAGCCTCAAGTGGTGTCCGAACCTAACCTCAAACTCGCAACCTCTTTGATCAGAGTCAAACGCCCTAACCATTAAGCCACAAGCTCGTTGCCTAGCTGATGAATGCACGTGTTTTAGCGGCGGTCCTGTAATCCGCTTAACAGGGGATTTTCTATTCCTTGAAAAAAAAGAGATGTAAAGCAAGCCTAATATTCTAGTGGCATGACGTTCACCGATCAAGTTTCCGGAACCTGTATGCCCTGTTGTGTCTTGTAGTTCACTTTAGCGTCCTTTCCGGGCCGAGTTACATAGCAACTACAGATCATTAAGTATCGACATAGACAAGAGAGGGAGACCACAACAGCCGTTTCTGGCTATTAGCCGTCATCAGCCGATCATCCCTAATCCCAAGTCTGGCGCATATAAAATCTAATCTTCTCAACGCTGACAAAAGACCACCTTCTGAGAGGTAGCCGATACCGGGCTGCCTAAACTGCTGTCATTTAGACCGAACGTTGTTGCAAGCACCAATTGCCTCAGT